TTGAATTGTGAGGATGTAAAGCTATCGGTTAAGACCATATGGCCACCTGTTGAATTCACCAAGCCCTTCATTTCAAGAAGACCGACTTGGTCCAGACAGCCAGCGAAGATATCGACAATGTGGCCATTATGAGAGACGCGCTTAGCGAGATTTTCATAGAACTATAAAAGAAGATGTTAGTCTATAACCGTGCAAGAAAAGAGAAATGCCAGAAAAAGGTTTTACCTTCACAGCTTTCTTGTAATACTTAATATTATCACGGTCAATATCATGATGGGATCGCATTGGCTCTTTAAGCTGAGGTCCAACGACAAGACCCGGACCCTCAGTAGCAGGGCCGCTAGTGAAAAGTATAATGCGACCACCAGCACCCTGGAATGATGTTTCCATCAACCCTACCGCTACACTCAGCGCAACACCCGTACATCGCAATGGGCGCCTATCGTTAGCAACTGGCCATGGGTCCCGCTGCAATTGCTCAAGAACATTCGTAATCTGGAAATCGGCCTGTTGCACTGGTAGGAGAAATCTTGCGGCTGGGGACATAGGGGCACTGGGGCGGCCAAGCTGTTGTGGCACATTTGGACGGAGACCTGGAGCGAGGAGACCAAGCATCTCCTGAACCTGTTTGGCAGCATAGTCTTTGCTTCCCCTGAATACATATGACTTGGCGCATTCGGTGTAGCCGATCTCATGGACTTGAGCCTGCATGTGTTTTTGAGTTAGTCAGCTGCAATCTCGACGTTTGCGGATATATAAGCTCATTAGAGAGGGAGATAGAGGTCGAGGTGTTCGAACCATTGTGCCATAAGTAATTAGCCCAACCAATGCGTTTGGTGGTAAAAGGGAAAGGCTCATGACAAGGGAATCTTTCACAGCTTTCAAGCTATCTTCCTCCTGGCAGGTATCAACCACAAAGAGGAAAATGGGAGGGGCCGGAGCTGGACGTGCGAGCTGGTACTCGATTGTCGTGCTTTGCGGATGAAGTTCAGGGGGGATTGCATTTTCTGTTATGTCTTTGTAGTGCTGGGGGAGCGGGTTCCGTTGGAGACAGAAAGGGCATATCCAGATACGAGCACGGATATCAACGTTGCTGCATATCTATGTCAGTCCCGTGCTCCTATTGCAATTCTGATATGAAGATCATCGTTCAAACGCTGGGCAGTGAGTGAGAAATGAAACCTACGCGAATGGGTTAAGAACAGCTCTACATGGCTGCTTGCAAGTGACCGGTTCATATTGGAGCAGAGGAGATTCGGGTTTCTCTTTCAAAGGTGTGTAAATTGCTCCAATAGGTACTACGAGACGGGACGCCTCCTGTTTGTATAGTAAATATCAGCAGCTGAAACTAAGCAATAGGGGAGGTCATCAACAAACCATGCGCGTGCTTGGGAATGTATTCCAACTGAGTCTAATTCCGTCGCGATCCTCGACATCACTCCACTGATCCTTCAATGCCTCGTAGTCCATGGCTGTGATGTGGCCCGGAGATATTCTGATAGGGGGTCGTCAACTTGGAGGAGGGGAGCGGAACAACACAGCGGCGGGGCGGAGTGCGTAGTCTGGAGCGTGGTAACAGCCAATGTTCAGAAGACTCTGGCCCCGAGCATAATCGCCACAGATGATGACCAGAAGAACAGGAGCACGGAGGAGAGAAGAGGAGGGGAGGTATTATGTCGGTGGGCAACAAGAGAACAAGCTTTGTGTGGAGTTGCGCAGTTGAAGCCAGGTTGCAGTATTGTTGGTCCGTGCAGTCTACCGTAGTAGCCTCATGAATTCCAACTAGCGAAAATTTCCGGGTATAAATAGGCCCTTGCAACGCATTTTTTTCCTCCCTTCCTTTTTTTCTCTTTCATAAACAACCACGCCGACTCTAATAAAATACACATTACTTATGCCAGCTTCTGTCATTCTCAATGATGTTGCTGTTTTCGCGTCGTGCGGAGAGCGATTAAATATTAATTTATTTTTTACCCATGGCTGGGCACCTGTCTTTGAGAGCTCATTCTGATGCTTTAGGATGAATCGGGAATCAGCAGCGGTAACATATTCTTCATTTGACTGATACCTAGGTAGTTATGTATTTTTCTCTTTCTACCTTAATGCTCCTTGGGAATGAAGATGCTACACTTAAGCTTCGAGTTGTGTTTTGAAAAAATTAAAAATACCAATTTAGTCATTGAGAAAAAGATAAGAAAATCTGCTCGTGGGTACATTAATACTTTCATAATGAAGAAACGCCCCAGAAATACGATCATTCCAACGCCAGTCATAATGATGAATTACGAAATTGTGTATACCGTTTCTCCCAGGCGGGGTTTCCAAGCCGCCAAAATCACAACGTCATCTCCACATCTGCCTTCGCAATCTTCCCCAAATTCTTCAGCAGATAACTACGCTTGAAATACGTGTTGGGATGAACAATCGTATCAAGATCGGTCTGGCTCCAACTCCCCTCATCGCGCACCTGTTTAATCTCCGCTCTATGCACCCACTCAAACACACGATTACATGCAAGGTGATAGCGAGTCTTGCCCACGTCCTCCCGCACCCCACGCAGAACTTCCTTATCGTTAACGCCCGTCGCTTGGAGTAAGCTAATGAGGTTCTCGACGGAGAAATGCCGGTAGGGACAGCCGTGTGTTTGGCCGGCGCCTGGTGAATTATCTGTGAGAATCTTCTGGCAGGAGTAAGGTGGATATCCACGACCCCTGCGGTTGACATCCCCTCCCACGTCACCGTACGCGTGGCGGACATTGTACTTATACTTGGAGCTGAACTCGTCATCAGTGAATATCTTGAAGGATTGTCGCCAGAATATCAGCGCGTCCTGGAGTGACAGGCCGATGCCCTTTAGGAAAAGGGTGTACTGCAATCGGCCAAAATGCTTTAGGTGAGAATTTTTGCGTAGCTGCATGTGTAGATTACGCATGCAAGGTGGAAAGTGTTGGGATAGAGCATCAATGGATGCCGCTGTAATCGGCGCTCCAGGCACGGAGCCCTCACCCTCGGCGTAGCTGGAATCAGACGTGCCGAAATTTTTCGAGAGATGATCTAGAATGGGCGTCAGGCGATCGTCCTCATCTAGCCGGGGCAACGCTCGGCTTGTAAACTAGGTAGATGGTTAATAAATCGCATGGCTACTACTGCCTTGGAGGGAAGAGAAGAGTTTCATGATATTTATCACTTACCTCAAGGGCCTTCTCTAGCCGTGCCGTAAATTCCGCTAGAATCATACTAAGCTGCTCTCGCACGGGCACATAGGCCTTACCCTTCTTCATAAACACCCCCCTCCGCTCAACCAGCTCTGGCACCCTCTCCCAGTCCACCTTAAACCAGCTCTCATCCTCAAGACGCCTGACACCATACGTGCATGCTAGCAAGCTATCCCCAAGTTGATGCTTTTCCTCATCCGAAACCATATCCCAATTGAAATTGAGACTCTCGATGAACGCACGTCTCTCTTTGGAGTCGTCCATTTGGAAGCGGAACTTAAAAAGCATGGTTTCGAGGCGGGCAAAGCGACGTCTCAGATCCTCTGTTGAGGAGAATGCGAGACGCAGGATGAAGTGGGAGTAATGGTCCTTTTGTCGTTCATTTCGTAGGCGTTGGTCAACACCCGTGCTAGAGGACGTATTGGCTGAGAGAGGGAGGAATTTGTTGAGGAGAGGGGTAATATGGGCGGCGGTTTCGGCGGGGGTTTTGTTTCTATAGGAACATGCTTCCAGCTCAGCGAGGACTAGTGTTTGGAGGGGTTAGAACCTGCACACAAAAAGGGTTCGTGAAATATAATGTTTAATAAACAAGAACTTATCATAAACTTACCTCTTAACCTATCAATAGCCCATTGTTCAAATTGCTCGAGAGTGATTTCTTGAGTTGGGGGGATTTCATAGAAATTGAGGCGGTGGGCATAATCGTGCTCCCTGTATGTTGGAGCTGCGAACTGCTTCTTTTTATAGTCAATTGGAGCCCGACGTTTAGGGTCCATGCGAGATCTATCGTACTGAATCATGCTGGTTGTGATATATGGTAAATAGCAGTCTGTAGTTGTAGTCGTGAGATCTGGCGGCCGCAGCGAGTTGCGGAGAGACGCACCATTTAGTGATGTTTCGACGCGTCCACATGCAAGGCTTTATGGTGCCAGCGACGCGACAAGGCGCGAAACTTGATTGATCAGGTGATACAGACCACATCCATTTTAGCGAATTGGCGAATAAATCGGACCGAGATTCTGTGTTGTTTCCATCAATGAAAACTTTGATAAGAGACCCCACCATTATTATCACAGCACAGCACACTCTTCATTGCAGGAATTATCCACTGAATGGAGCGTGTTGTTGGATGGGGGTTCTCTCCCCATGTGAATGTGATGCCCCTAAATCACCCAATATCTGCCAACATACCATTCTTCAAACCGAGGAGCAATATGATCCCCAAATAACGCTCACGCGCGTTGCACAATTCCGTACTCTTGTTTGTTTGCTTGTTACGCTGTACGTACATCCCGCCGTCAAATCTCAGCTTCCGAGGGGCGACCCTCGGCGTTTTGCTTCCCCAACTAAAACTCCCGATTGGTCACGCCTGCTGACTAATCACTTTCTTGCCTGATCGCCCTTCAACTCACCGAAGCCACCGCCGGGACAGCTGCGAATCTCGGGGCCAATTCATATATATTTGCCAGGCACAGCCAGCGCCATTGCCGCCGCCCTGGAGATCTCTTGAGATATTCGACATATACCTAGGTATAAAAGCTGCACTTTTCCCAATGTATGCTACTGCGCTTTGTTGCTATTCTTATTACTTCTCTTTTATTATCCCGCAGGATGATTTAGATACTCGTCTTTCCTTGTTCCCCCCTCTTTCACTCTCTCTTCCCTCCCTAACTACTCTGTACCCGACCTCCACCTGAATATTGGGAAGTCGTCCTCCATCCCTGTGTCTTGACTCTCAGCCAAATTTCAATTAGCTTGTACATTCATCTGCCCTTAGAGGAAATTATGTCCCAAGCGACAAGGCAGCTGAAAAAAGCAGCCCGCATTATCCTCGTTGGAGCCCCCGGCGTTGGAAAGGGAACCCAGACTGAACGATTGATTAAGAGGTACCCCCAGCTCGCATCTATCAGCTCCGGGGACCTTCTTCGAGAAAATGTACGCAGCAAGACACCACTAGGTTAGTTTTTCCTTGGGACCATATCGCCCCACTTTTCTCTATTTACTTGTAGTACATTAGGCATTTAATCTAACCACCAAGGGGGAAAAAACCAGGCCTCAAAGCGGAATCCACCATTCTTGCCGGCAACCTTGTACCAGATAACGTCATTCTCGACCTCATCTCCTCCGAACTCACTTCAAAGGGATGGCTCACCACTGCTCCTCCTGCCGCCAATGCCACCAGGGCGGCCCCAACCCTAAACCCTACTGCTTCCTTCATTCTCGACGGCTTCCCCCGCACCGCAGCCCAAGCTTCATCCCTCGACTCCCTCATCCCCATAAATCTAGTCGTACACCTCCTCACACCCCCCGCCATCATAATCTCCCGCATTACTTCCCGCTGGGTCCACCCCCCATCCGGCAGAGTGTACAACACCCAATTCAACGCGCCCAAGGAACCAGGCAAGGACGATGTGACGGGCGAGCCGCTGGTGCAGAGGGAGGATGATTCGATTGAGACCTGGAAGCAGCGGCTGAGGAAGTTTGAGGAGACGAGCCGGCCGCTGTTGGAGCATTATGAGCGGCGCGGGTGTCTGTGGCGCGTGGAGGGGGAGACTAGCAATGAGATTAGTCCAAAATTGTTCGCGGAGATTGAGCGAAGGTTTTCTTAAGGTATATCTATGTATATTTCCTTGGTCCTTAGATTCTGTACTTTTTCTTGGTTGGATTTTTTGTTTTAACATTCTTTTTCCTTTTCATTGGTCGGATATATTTGTTTAATCCTTACTCGCTCTTGGGAGCGTTCGATCGTTTTCTTTTCCCATGCTTCCACACAACCCCCTCGGTTTTCTATTGGAACTCTCTCTCTCTGGACTTTCATAATCCCCAGACACTATCCTTACATCAGCAGTTTCATAGCTGTATTGTACACTACTACATGTACATTATCCGTAACCACCTAAGCATTGATATGGAGTGATCATAGGTGTTCAATCGTCCTTGTTTAAAACTCGCCTAGGGACATCAATCTCTGGTATCTCTTTTCATAAAACTACATACAGAGTACGATTGTAGAATAATGCTGAGGTAAAACCATGATGGCAATAAATCGCTAACAACGGAAAAGAAGCATGAAAATAAAAACAAAATAAACCCCCAACGAAAGCCATGATGAATAACGACACGAAACTCCAGCCTGCTGACGTAGGAAAACAGAACATATCCAGCAGATAGATATAACACATCTCACAACGTAATCCCAAACGCTCGTAACCAACCGAATATGAAAGGTAAAAAAGTGATGATATCTACTTCCCTTCTTACCCATCTAACGTTTTCCCGCCCCCATTCCCCCCCCCCCCCCCCCTACACCTCTGTATTTATTAGAAACCCGAGATGCTTGAGTTTCAGATTTAATGTATTCTCTGTGAGCTTTAAACTCACATGCTCTAGTTTCTCATATCAAGACACTATCAGACACCTGTATTAATTATTCAGTTATTAAAGCAGTCACAGTTATTTAATTCTATAGTATTATTTATATAAGATTTATCAGATTATCTGCAGCGTCATAGATAGGTTAATTCAGATCATTATTAAAAGTTAGTATTCTAAGAATAAGAAACAGTGAAGAATTTAATAAGTTAAAATAAACAGACTCTATAGATAAATATTAACTCTGATTTTCTTTATTCTGAAGTTTCTATATTATCTTATCATCACATTTCATACTCTGATAAAACTGATCTCTGTCGTATCTTATAAGTCAGAAGTCTTCTCATAATAAGTAATTATTCTATTGAGTAAGTTATCTCACTAAAAGTGTAATTGCAAGGTTTAAGCTGAACTCTGACGTCATAGATATATTACTTATATAAAGAGAACTCTACTTCTTC